CATTTAGGGATCTTCTGCTGAAGATACAGTTCCTTGACTAAGTCCTTGCTTTTGTGATACAAAGCTGAATGGTTTTCTGTGGTCTCCAGTGTTGATTGTTGCTCTTCTAATCCTAGAGTAAAGAATGAATGGATTAATGCTTGGATGCCTTTGCTCGACTGACCCGTGATCTTACAGAGAGCAGCTGACAAGCATTCAACAACAGAACTAACTTGTGCATGAGTGAGACATGGGACAGAAACAAGCCTTCCATTTAAACAGCAAAGTTACATTTAATATGCTTGGAATATCATCTGGTTATTTCCGGGCTTAATCATGCATGTTGCTGACAATCAGACAGAAAAGCTCCTAACAGAAACGCAAAGAGCTAGGAAAACGATGGATCAGCTCATCTACGGGCTGCACTGGTCACTTAATTGAACCAAATTTGATTTTCCATCTTAACAACAGGAACATAGGGATTGATTTGACAGAGCAGAGCAGATCAGTCATGGCCCATCTAGCTTGCTACCTTGTGTACAACAGTAGCCGGGATCCGATTCTCCAGGACAGGCACAACCCCCCCCGGAACAGCAAAGCCTGCTCACAGGAGACGGTTCGTCCTAACTCCCGTTGGTTAGCGGCTGCCCGCCATTACCGCCTCTCAGCCACGGGCCTCGCCTCTGCCTGGGGCGCGCAAGAGAAGTGCTGCGGGCCAAACCCTGCCCCGCAGGCGCCCCGACGACCAGCCACCCGCCCCGCAAGCCGCGGAGGGCGCTCCGGGAGCGGAACGGCGTTCACCAAACGGGGACCCGGTCGGAACAGGGCTAACGCCCCGGGCGCTTCCGCGAGGCCCCCCGGCCGAGCGCGGCGCGGGCCCGGGCCCAGCCCCCGGCCGCCGCAGAGCCGGGGCGCGCGGTCAAAGCGAGTCTCGAGGCCGCCTGGTTCCCAAGGGAACGAGAGGGGGGGTGGGGGGGCGCTGACCCGGCCCCGGCCCCGGCCCCGGCCCAAGCCGCATTAGCCCCGCTGCTGCTCCAGTCTCCGCGCCGCGTCCCGCTCTCCCGCCCCGCAGGGGGGGGCTGGGCCGGGCCCCACCCCCCGGACCCGCCCGCGAGCCCCGCAGCGCCCAGCACCTACCTGAGCGAAGCCACTTCCGGGGCTGGGCCCGCCGATCACATGATGCCGGCACGTGACCGCCCCGCCCCTACGGGTCGCGGGCAGGGACAGCTGTGCCCCGCCCCCTCGGGCCGGCAGGCATGGAGCAGGCCGGGCCCTGGCGCTGCGCGGGCCGCCAAAGGCGAGGCCGGGCCCGCGGGCAGCGGGCGTGGCCGGGGGGCGAGGCCGGGCACAGCGGGGCGGTGCAGCGCCGGCTCCGGGAGGCCCGGTGAGTGCGGGGCCGAACCCGGGTCATCAGCGGCCCCGGAACCCTCCCCCCGCCGTGGGGTGGCGTGTCCTGCCCCCCCCCCCATCCCGGGCTCCGGCCCCGCCCCCGGGCCGACCCCCCCCCATCCCGGGCTCCGGCCCCGCCCCCGGGCCGACCCCCCCCCGCATCCCGGGCTCCGGCCCCGCCCCCGGGCCGACCCCCCCCCCCGCATCCCGGGCTCCGGCCCCGCCCCTGGGCCATGCAGCCCTTCCTCTGCCCCGGGACCGACCCCACCCCAGACTCCCCCGGCGGGGACCCCCCTCCTCCGCACACTCCCCGTACAGCGGCCCCCCAGGCACACAGGGGGGTCCCCGCCAGCTCAGCCTGAATCTCCCTTCACCCCGGCGGCCCAGGCCTGGCCCCCCTGCCCCGCATGGCCGCCCCCTGCCCCCGCCGCGAGGTGACCGCTGCGTTTCCCGTCCCCAGCGAAGAGCTGCTGAGCTCCCCGTTCTGGGCCCGCAGTCAGAGTAAGTCGAAGCCGCTGGCTGGCCCGGCTCTCGCGCTGCCTGGTGCGGGGTTCGCTGGCTGGGGAGAACACGCTGCCGCGGGAACGGCTGGCTGAACGGGGAGAGCAGGCCAGGGCTCCCTCCGGCCCCAAGCCCGCCGCTGGCTGCTCTGGTGGGGTGGCCCCGGGAGCATGGGAGATGGCTCGGGTGCGATTGGCCTGGTGGTGACACGGGGCGGAAGCAGGACCAGTCGGAGTGACTGAGCCCGGGCCCTACTTACTGCTGCTTTGACTTGCCCCTGCCCTTCCTGTCTGACTCTGTCATCTGTGGGGTCACTTCTGAATTTAGCCCACAAGCTCTGCGGGCCAGGGTCTGTAACTTGCCTCATTGGCGTGAAGTGCCTACCGTGCTTTTGGCTGCCCCGTAATAATAAAAGATGGACGCAACTGAGAAGCCAAAGAGATACCGCCTTTATCCCAAGCGTAAGGTTCACCATAGACATGATTTTAACGAGCTGGAGATGAGCAAAGGGACTAAAAGCATGATAAATGCCCCCCCAATGGGATTAAACACCATTTGCAAAATATTCTGTTCTAAAGTTATTGCTTGTGGCTCTATTCTGCATCTGCTCTTACAGGGATGTTCAGAGCTGTGCTAACATACCCACTGATTCAAACTGTTTTGGGTTGGGAAATTATAGAGGTTTTCCCCACTTGCTGCCCATCCATCTGTTTTGTGCCCTACTTCCCGAACAGCGAATCACATCAGTATCCTTTCTACCAGGGAGAACTGGGCTGGTCCCAGCAGTGCAGTGAGTGGGGCTTCCTTCAGGAACAGAGTATGCTGCCTCTGCGGCAAATGTGAGATTGAAAGATGTACACTAGAACAGGAAAGATGTACACTAGAACAGGAAGACCATATAAGCACATCTCCGACATCTGCATTTCTGATGCCTGCCTGACCTTCACTTTCTCTAGGAGCCATCCAAGAATCCCTCAGCAAATGCGTAGAGCAAGGGGAAAAAACACCAGGCTCTATGTCAGAAGTCCTGTGTTCATTTGAAAACCTGCAACTTGAACCATCCCATCAGTCAGTTATGGAAGCCAGTTCGCATTCAGGAGAGCCAGCTTGCAAAAGGGGCCACTTGCGGTGTGTATGTTATGGCATTGGAAACTTTTCCTCTTGTGTCATTTCTCGATACCAGCTAGCATTCTTGCTTCTGTTACTGGAGAAGTTACAGGTAAGAACTATACCGTATGTTTAAATAGCTGGGTACTTGTCTCTGTAACTTCTAACACTTTTTCTTTCTTGCAGGTTCCCCAAAGTCAGTGCTACATTTTTGATCCTTTATTTTCCGAATTGGAAATTGAAGTTCTCAATGAGCTTGGTGTAACAGTTGTCCGGGAGAATGAGGTAAGGTGGATTAAGGCTGAGATCTTTAAAATGTAAGTAACATGTTTACCCCATGAACAGAAAAAGGAGCACTCCAGAGAAATCAAAACAGTCAAACCTACATGTGCCTTTGATGTGGACGTATTGCAGGGTTTTTGCCTTTCACTTAATTCTAGTCTGGTCAACGCAGAGTTTCTCGTGTAGCCCTTTTATGGCTCTGATAGAGGGAGTAAGTGTCACGTTTTAGTTATGCAGCAGTCTGCTGTAGCACTTCGGTGAAACGGGCATGTTTCCCATGGCACCAACTTTGCCCTGGGAGATGGGTTGGAATGTTAAGCCAGCCAAGAAATGTGCTGGGCTTAAACAATGTTGGGCACTTTTAAATGGCCTTTGGAGTGCCACGGCGTGGGCCCTAGGGCTTACAGAACCAGGGAAGCTGATTGTGAGTAATCTTAAGGAATGCTGTTTATCTGCAGGAGGGAAAACACCACATTCATGAATTCACCATCTTTTATATGATCCACTGTGGAAAAGCTTTGTATAACAATCTGCTCTGGAGTAACTGGTCTGTAGATGCGCTATCCAAAATGATCATTATTGGGAACAGTTTTAAAGGGATTGAGGAAAGGTAGGTACCCAAAAATGATTAATGTCCTCACATCTAAGGCAGAATTTCATTCACTAACTCTCACTACAGCAGTAATCTTTTATGCTTACCTGCTTCTGTGATACCTTCACGAATGCTGGAGGAGCTGTCTTTTCATGCAGAACTTAAAATCATCAGCACAAATGTCTTCTGCACTTTAAAGTTTTAAGGTTCACTCTATCCACAAAGCTTTGACTTGCTGCCAAGTCTGTGGCCTTTTAGATGAGATTGTGTCAATTAAATTTCCATGCACATTGCTTTGCGGATTACAGCAATGCTGAGGTGAGAGGCTCTTTTCTGTAGAGCAGTGACAATTTGGGAGGCTTCTAGCTTCCTGTTCTTGAGTCTGGGCTAGGTGAAGATCTGAATGCTTATACATTTCACTTTTCTGCTTGTGGACAGGCACAGCTGGGAAAGATTAATATTGTATCTGTGATTGAAACCAGAACCAGAAGTGTTGTTATAAACCAGTTTTAGCCACAGAGAGCTAAACCTTGCTCCTCTGGCTCAGGGGATATGGCCATTGATTCAACTGGAACAGAACTAGGCTTCAGTGTGTGCATGAACAGGCTCCTCCATTGAAGTCAGAGTGTCTACACTGTACCTCAGAACGGACAGTTTTGAAAGATCCAAGCAGCATCTCAAAGGCAGATAAAGAAATTGTTTATCCTACTATTACATTACCTCAACCTTCCCAATTGGAGTTGCTAGATGTCTAGACCACTCCTTTGTTACTCCTCACAGTGGAAAGGTTATGGGCTAAGATCACCTGCTGGAGAGCAAGACCATGCTCTTGTAAACTTGTGACATGTCACTTCTAAACACCCAACCTCTGCTGTATTGCTGACTTTCTCTGTGACGCTGTCCTTTTTCTCTCTCCATACTCCTGTAATGTCTGAGCAGACCTCAGAATAACTTGTGTTCATTAAAAACCAATATTTAAATGTGGTTGAAATTGCCCCTTGTACAAGCCCAGTTGCTTTTTCTAGTTTTTACATGTGCATAGAAATAAGTAGTGAGGTAGACTCCATCTTTCTAAATCTAAGCCTGATGCTAAGGGCTGCGTCTGTGCTTTCCTTGGAATAGACATTTTGTATGTTCTGTACAACTTCAGCCTTGTGTGTTAACCAACTTCATTTTGTCTCTTAATACAACATGCTTCCAAAACACACATCAACAGTAAAGTCAATTGGTTCCAGTACTAATGTTTGTCTTTGTTTCTAGGTTGGTGGCAAGAATATTAGAGCGAGATTATTTGTACATAGCAAAGGTACAGATTACTATTTTAAGAAACGTGAATGTATTGTAGTGGATAGTCACATCAGTCTCTAGCTATTGATGATAAATTAATGAGAACAATTACATAAGCAAATGTGATTTTTGTAATAGTCCCTTTTGTTGGTTCTCGCATGCCAGAACAGTGGTTTTCAACCTGTGGTGGTCCACAGACTGTCTAAGGTTTCCAAAGGGGTTCACACCTCACATCAAAAATGTCTAGGGGTCTGTAAATGGAAAAAAGATAAAAAAACCACTGTGCTAGAGCTAAAGGGGTCTGGCAGGAGCCTAGCTCAGCTGTTTAAGTGCTGGATGACACATTGAATGCAAGGTTTTAGCTTGGCTTCCCACAGTTTCAACTGTTCTAGTTTCCACATATTTTACCAAGATTGATTATGTTCTATTGTATCTTGCATAATTATGCTGTTCAACTATGTCTAGGTTTTAAAAGGGACAGAGGAAGCTGCATTTCCAATTCATCCTCAGTATATGGATATATTTAACGACACCTCCATCCACTGGTTTCCTTTACAAAAACTCAAGGAGCTCCCAACAGAAGCCTGGCAGTTTCAGGAAGAGCCAATGTACCACGAATGCGATGACCTGGAGATTATCAGGAAATAGGACAAATGAAGTTGTTTCATGCTAGGACCAGACTGAAATGGATCCTTTAATTACTCCCTGGAGTTTGTGCCTGTTTTTACAGGGCTGCATTCACTTATAGTAAGGAGATGTTAAGCTCACTTACCACAACTATCAATATAAAGTGTGGGCTGGCTAACATATTTAGCCAGAAATCTTGAAGGCAGCAGCAGTGTCTGCAAACAGAGCTTAATGTGACAGGTTTTTTTTAAAAGGTGAAAACTGTACCTTAGCTTACACTCTTAATTATTCACTAAATAAAGTCATACTAGTTTTTTTTCATTTTGCTGAATACCTGTGTCTTGTGCTTTAAAAAGTGACAGTCTGTGTTCAACTGACCAGTTCCTAGAAGACTGGGCCTGCTTTCTGTAACCTCCCCAGAACAAGCCTGGCCTTCAGTGAGGTAGAAGTTTAGATCTGTATTTTGTATCAGCAAGTTATTCTCAGTTGTGTCTGACCCACTACGGAACAGAGAGAATGAGATGCTCGCTCTCTCAAGGATTTGATAGGTTAAGGGGTTCTCAACCACTGTTAAAAATACTGCATCAAGAAGCCCTGGACTACAGGGGGGGCTCTCCCTGTTCACTGCCATGGAAAGTCAGCTATTGACTGCATTCTTGCATGATGATCCAGATCTTGAGTACCTCTAGTCAGGCCTTAAACAACTCATCACTAATATGTATAGAGATACATACATGTATAGAGATACTGAGCAAGTTCTTCCAGGCAGATGTCCTGAAGCATCATCACCCACCCACTCTGAGGCCTGTGTTTGACATTACCAATCGTAAGTCTTTCCCTGTAGGATTCCAGACGTGTGTAATTCCCAGTGCAAGGGTGAAGCTAAAACCAGAAAGAAAGGCTGGGTTACCCACACATGGAATTGGAATTCAGGAAACATGATCTCATCAGCCAAGCAAATTGCAGAAACATTTTTCTTGAGGGTTTTATCAGTGCAGTTGTTGCCTCATGGGAAACTCTTAATACATTTTTTGCATAGTTGATGAGATTGCTAGTCTAGTTTAAAAGGGTGACAACTGCTTGTATCTTTCACTCAACAGCACCTTTTAAACGCTAACTTAACCAACATGTGCTGTGACGGAACAGGACTGTTAAAAAAAATCCTACAGAAGAGCTGAAAATCCATCAGATCTACAAAGTCAAGTCACCTCTTTATTGTAAGAGTCACACTAAACATCTGTTAGCATGGGGAATCTTGACAATACTTACTATGTACAATGCTCCTGGCACAGAGCAGGATCCTTATTTAGCCATATCAATGAGACTCTGAAGAGAGGTTGGCACCCATGTCTTTTCTCCTTGTACAAACACAACGCCCCTGTCAATGTAAATTACAATTCGTCCAAATGTGTACAATTGTTTTCCTTCATGCCGCTTCCCGATCACAGGCATGAAGACGATATTGTGTTCTTCTGCTTTTGTTTGAATGAGGTCCTTAAAATTCATTGGCACAGAGCTAGCAGCCATGCCTATGCCCCGTTGGGCCATGTTCTCAGCCTCTCGCCGCTCCTGCATAGCTTCATACTGGAAGTCTTTCCTCCGCTCTGTGTGAGTGAGATAGGCAATGTTTTCCCGAGCACCTGGTTGCATGTAGCCACCTGTTTGGGAAAGAGTGAAATAGGTGAAGGCAAGGTTCCAATCCATTTTTGAACATGATACAATGATGAACCTAAATGCTGAATTTCAGGGATGCAGCATACACCCACTCCAGTGTGGCGTCTTAAATGCTATTGTACATTTGTTACAGTATTTGATGCTAAAGAGATAGCAGGATATTCAGGTGAAAATTTCTCTGATTCAATTCTATTGAACTATGACAAATGGCAGGATTTAAAACAATCCTTTGTCACTGAACCTCACTAGAGTGTATAGAACAGGTTGGACACGGACACTTGGAGGAAGCTGCTCCACTGCAATGCCATTAGAAACGGAGGGAATCTGGGCAAACATGCCATGCTACATCCAAACCCAAGCCCTGCAATCAGACCACCTGTCTAGTAGCAGGTTAGAGTGACTGCTGAGAAGCCAGGCAGTTCAGTAGCCTTAAAGAGCTCAACATCAATCAGCAACTCCACACCCAAAGGGAGAGGCTTTATGTCACTTGGTGGCAGTTCTGAGTACTATGCTAGGAGTTTCTCAGAGTAGTTGAATTCCCAGGGTGGTGCAATGTACACCTGTGGCTGTGTATCTGGTTCATCATTTTACTAAAGGAATAGAACGCAGCCATCAAAATGACTCTGTGGCCTACCTTCTGTACTGTGCCATGGGCCCACAGAACTGTACAATAAAACTTTAAAAGAAGCAGGGTAAGAAGTCGATTCACTGCTGGGGCAGGACACACACAACAGGAAAGTAGGTTTAGGGGACAGTTTATTCCTCTCTCAAGTTTTGCGCCTTTTATATGTTTGGTTCTCTCCCCACAATCCTGTCAGCTGCTAACAAGCTGTACTGCAGATATCAGAACTGCAGTCCAGCGCCACACACTTCTGAAACAGCAAGCAAAAGCATTTTTGCATGAGTGGTGGCAGGATCTATGGAAATTCCGGTTAGCAGGAGTTCTGACTGAATAGACACACACACACAAGACTCAAGTATTGCTGTATTGGGAAGCACTACATAGGATAGAAACGGTGAAGACTTCGCAACAAGTCTCCAATGTCTTACCGACATTGGAAGAGACAGCCCGGTTCATGATATCAAGAGCTTCATTAAATTTGTCCTTGATCGATGGATGTGCTAACACCTGGTCTGAGAACATAGACTTCCAACCAAGGTACCACTTGGTGATCTCTTCGTAATTGGGGCTATTACTTAGCCAGGAGCAGAGTACCTGCAAAGAAATCAAAAACCACACCTCAACTGGGTGGCACAAACATGGATCAAAGCCTCCCTGGTATCAACTAGTTTGGTTCTCAATTTGCTTATACTAACAAGAAGGGACTGTAAATCTGTGTCTGCTAAGGAAGCACAGTCTCCATCTGATGTACACGGAGCCATCACTAAGAAATGTCTGCATTTAACGTTCAAGCCATTTCTGCCATGCAATATACACTGGGCAGGAGTTGGAATTCTGAGTTTAACAAATAAAATATTTCACTGGGCAATAGCCAGAGAGCCAAGTCCCTCACAGTCATTCACCACCACCTTATCATTGGCTTGTTCTTTAAAGCAAACAGTTCACTGGTTAGTCTCTTAACTACACACCTGCAGCCATTTGGGGAAGAAGTGTTTCTCCAGAAGTCCAACAAGGCTGGACACAGAGACCATCCCCTCCCAGTCGATCACCCAGTAAAATGCATCCATATGCTGCTGGTGAGGGTTAATGACGAGCTCATTGAGACACATCCCTGGGGAGAGAAGAGAGAAGTCAGAACTGGAACTGCTCTGCTGGCAGATTGGCTGCTGTAAACTGCAGGAAGTACGTCAACCTATTCAGCTAGCAATTTAAGTGGTCAAAGAGGCCTTTAAGATGCTGCTTAACAGGTTTCAAACTCTTTAAATTGTCTGGTTAATCTGAATAGCTACAGAAGCCATCCTTGGCTCCAAAAAGTCAAGTATGCAAAATCTCTACTGGGTGTTACTCTCTGCTAGAAGCATACAACTTAAAACAGTACACTGAGTTTTACTTTAGGCTAGAGAGACTTTAAACCAGTTTGGATGGCATCAGGAGGGCTGTGAGACTCTGTTCTTTGGCTTGCCTCACCTAGTTTAGGCACAATGTTTTTGACCATGAAAGCCTCCCAAGATCCTGGTGTAAACACTTCTTTCCAGGGCTGAAGGATCAGTTTGGCTGAGGAGTCACTGGGGTGCCATTTCTGCAGTGCATTTGCCAACTTGTTTCGGATTGGAGAATATAATGGCTCTAATCGAGACTGCATCAGTGGAAGCCAGGGGTGAATCCAAGAGTGGATTGGGACAGTGTCTGTCAGAGGGTTCCAGTTTTCAACCTTGAAACAAATAAAAAGTTACTGCAATAGAAATAAATCTATCCAGTGACTCCTAAGCAGCTGAGCCTCTCTCTGCCAAATGCACACAAAATTAGAGTGAAAGCATCCCATCGTTGCTAATGCTGTCCTGAGGCTCCAAAATGAAAAGGTTATCAAATATTGGCAATTCACTGTGGTTTGAACATTGGTTCAGAGCGTGGCTTCAGTGTAAACTGATCTCTCATCTTACCTCCTTCTGTAGCTTGGGGAAGATGAGCTGATCCAGAATATTATCCAATATCCAAACAGGAATAACATGTACCCAGCTGTCCAAGAAATCTACCATTGGGCCACAGTTTCTCGGCTGCCACTGTGTTATTATATTTCTTACATACGGCATCCACATTTCCCACATGAGCCTGGAAAAATCAAAGTCAAGATTAAGCTACAGCCTGGTTTGTCTTTTATAGAGGACTTCAAGGAATTAAAAAGGCTACTTTGTTTACATTTCACAGCTGGATTTTAACAGACACTTCAGCTCATTAAAGGGCATCATCTGGAAAGTGCATTTCCACCCACTCTTCTCCATCCCCAAGAGACTATCATTTGAGGGTGTTGCATACAAGTACCATTGGTTTATTGGTTACCTGTGAAAAGCATCCGTTGCTAGGTCCTGTCCACTGTGCGATAACAACTGATCATTTTCTAAAAGCCTTTTCCACTTGGCTATAATTTCTGTGCCATACATACAATCCTGAAAAGAAAAATGAGCCAGGGCAGCATTTACTTCTTTCATGGATTGCCCATGAGCATGTAAAGCAATGGGGCGGTAATGTGCTGAGGGAGAGAGACCTTTTCCCTGCCTCCCCTCTGCCAGACAAACAGCAAGCTGGCAGATGTGGCAGACAGTCTCCCACCAGGGTATAACCCTGCAGTGGATTTAATATAAACGAAAGATACCAAGGCAAGGAGAAATAAGATTTTTAAAAGCTAAAGCTACATACTACAGATACGATACTATACATTTTATCTATCACGTGCTAAATGGCATGACCTTCTGAACAGCACACCCTTTAATTGCCAAGTTAGGCAGACTTCCCATGCAGTGAAAAGAAAGACTTGTCTTGCCATTTACTGTTTCTTCTGAGCACCACCAGAATCAGGCGCCTTGATAACAGGTCTCCAGGCAGGTACCCAAACATTGGGACTCCCACAATCTCCAGTCACTTTAGAAAATCTTGGCCTTCAGCTTTAGCGAGTACTGTCAGCAGCCTTCCTTTTATTAGCAGGTTAAGAGTACCCCCACATTTTGTATGCATACATTTACCATGAACAAAAATTTCCTATGGTCATTTAGTCAACTTTTCAATCAAAGCAAACTACAAAAATCTTTTCAGTCCTAACTGATAAAATACTGAAGCCAAACCCAGCACTCACCTTGAGGGGATCCCAGTTCTTGAAGTAATCTTTCATGAGAGGAAAGACGATAGCTACTGCCAGGTCCACTCGATCGGACATTCTGTATTCCTCATAATACTTATCTTGGAGGGTCTCAAAAATCTTTGCACATTCATCCAAGGTAAGTGGATTGTCACAGTTGGGCTGCATTCGCCGCTCGCATTCCTCCACCAATTCCAGGACCTTACTGAGGTTGCTAATTGCTGTCTCCTCATGCGAGAGGACTTCAGACATCTTCTGTATCTCATGGGTCAGGTTGACAACCATGTCCCTCTCGTACTGCAGCTGCCGGTCGTTCTGGATGATCTCCTGCTCTGTGATGTCGATGAGAAGTTGCAGGTTGTGCTCCAGTTCTGGCAAGGCAAATGCTTGGGGCTTGGAGTCTTTGCCCAGCGGCTGCTGAGGATTGTCATCTGGGATGTTGTGCTTATGGCTGATTTGACTATAACTGTAATAAACCCTTTGTTCCCGGCCAGTCATGTCTATAACCTTCCAAGAAACAAAAACAAATAGGTCTAAACAGCCATAGTTCATATTAATATTAGAAGGAAACCCATTACCCAGGATTGAGAATGGAAGCTATCCTGATAATTCAGCAGCTTCCGGTTCTTATTAACATAACCAAGTTATTTGAGCGAGAAAACTAAAACTGGGGATGCAGCAGTTTGGGTCCCTCTCAAAAGCAACTGAACTCCATGCAGTTATAGCTTCGCTAAGAATTTGGAGTTGCAGGAAATTAGGAGCTGGAGGCAGAAATAAGAGCCGAGAAAAGGCCTTTTCTATCTTCCTGTATCTGGAGAGAAAGGATGATGATTTCCCCTCTACCATTTCACAAGACTGTAAATACAGGCTAATGAGAACCAAATTCTCAACCCTCTGCATCTGGAGGAAAGTCTTAAGCAACTTTATTACCTCAAGAACTGTGATTTCAGACAAGCAGAAGTTCACTGGCTACACCAAGGACCAGTCCAGTCACTATACCTCAGAGGGTTGAGACTTTGGTTCTCATTAGCTTGTCCAGAACCAAAGCTTCTGACTCACCTCTGTTATGTTTGCCAATGATTCTTAAGTACCAGCAGAAACAGCACTTGTGCTAAGAGGGACAGCAAGACATTGCCACCTGGTCTGTAGATTTTCTGCTGAGTATCTTTGTTCTGCCTTGTGTGGATGATAATAAGGATGATGCACTTTAGGCAGATGCTGATTTCCCAGAGACCTAAACATATCATTGCTTTGGATACTGGTCTTACCTTAACTTGGGATAGTTCTTTTTGAGGAGCTGTGAGCTGCTTGCCAATCCTGCCCTTGGCCTTCAATTCTTCTACTGTCTTGTAGGCATATTTGGGTTTTTTCTTGCCTCCATTAGGATCCTTCCTCCACTGACTGAGCTCTTTCTGAAATTCCTAAATAAAACGCCAAAGTCAGACCAGAGGTGCAGGTTGCTGGCCAGCCATGCACGTCTGTCACAGGATTCTTTACACAAGAATATTTCAGCTCAGGTCCCTTAGAGAATGCAGTACAGAAAAACAATGGGCAAAGATTAAAGCTGAATGGCAGGTTACTGGTTGAAATTCTGTGGCTGAGTCAAACATATTACAGATGGTCCTAACCAGTACATTTCTGGATCTGGATTTCCGGGAAAAAACACCTTCAAATGTTCCCATTAGCCCAGCCAAACAAACAGACTTTACAGTCCTGGCGCATTAGCAAGTGAGATTCCAGCAGCAAGGGCAAAGCCATTAGCGTAGGTCTCTCTTTCAAGGGATAGGGAGAAAAAAATACGACAAGAGGGATGGAATATGTAACTTCAGCTTCCTGCACGCAGCTGAGCTGAATGGCTTCCCCAACATGGGAGAATGCCCTGGTACTACAGCCTGATTTCACATAACATTGCGATAGGGGTCTGCAACACACAGTAAGCCCTTACCCCTGTGGAACAGACAGACAAAGAGTCATACCTCTTCAGCTTCTTCCTCGGAGTCAACAACAGGGAAGTCCTGCAAGGACTGACTGGTTCGTTCGGAGCCATATGCTCCCAAGGCCCCTTTGCCTTTCCTCTGCTTGGCCTCAATCGGATTGATGATACCTGGGGAGTTACAGAAGAGTCAGTGAATGTCAGCTAGGAAGGGGAATCTAACCATTGGAACAGGAAAAGCTGTAACTAGGTTACCATAGGAAAAAGAGTTATCGAACTGGCACAGATCATCCAGCCTGGCATTCTGTCTTCCGTAGTGCCAGTATTTTGCACAGTTACACATTGTTATTAGTGGCCCTAACATTTTCAGGCACTTTTAAAAACCTGCTGTAGCATGTTCCTCTGACCACCGATGCTAACGAATTCTAAACACTGCACAAAATAGCATTTCCTTTGATTGGTTCCAAGTTGACTGCCTTTTAATTTAATCTCCCTCCTATTGTCTTCTTCTCATGCTAAATAATCAGAGATTGTGCAGTCTCCCACCATACGTCAATTTTATCTAATTACTGCTGCAATTATTTAAAACTAATACAACTGGATTTGATCTTGAAGATCCAACTTGTCTGAAGGAGAGGTGGGCAAACAAGACCCAAGTTTGCAATTTCCTTACAGAATCCTCATCTCAGACCCATACTCTTGGGGAACACACACAGTACCTTGAGCGTTCTTTCCAAGCCCTCTACCAGGGACATAACCCATTTTCTGAAGAAGCTTCTGCCCTATTCCCTTGGTGTGTCTCTCCCAGCTGCCAAAGTCCATGAAAGATTTGGTCCCTCCTATAAATCCTTTCTGGCTGGGTTTGAAATTGCCACCCTGTTAAAAAAAAAGAAAAGAAACCAATACCAGATAAAGTGATATAATCACCAAGCTCCTGGCCATCTGTCTCAAGATGAAACCTCACCAGCCTGCACTCTGTGCTGCTCTTCTAACTATCTGTGAGAGAAAGCCCCTAGGCTCACTGCTAGAGTTGAGGGTTTGTAGCCCTGTTCCCATTATGGGCTGATCTATAAGGCTCTATCATGGGTGGAAATAAATTGGTTCCTGATATTTTGCATCTGAACAGTTGAAAAATGGATTTTTATTTTTAATCCATTTAATTGATAATTTGCTTATGCTAGTCACATTTAGTACTGTGAAAAGAAAGAATTGCAAAAATATTTAATTGATGGGTGGAAGCAAAATCTGGACATTCATGTACTTCAACCTCATTCATCTCAAAATGAGTATCAATGAAGGGAAGGGGCTTAAGAGGCCTGGGGAGGAGTGAAGCTCCCAAGAACATATGCAATCCATCAAACTACACAAGTAAAACCTAAGGGAAACTTCTCCTTCCACTGCAAACCAGTATCACAAGTGGCTCTGTGATCTTACTCAGCCACTGTTCTCCCTTCTCAGCTGCTGTATTACTGAGCCAGTACCTAGACCACACCGTGGCTGGCACTCTGTAAATAACTTAAAGAGGTCTGGTACTCTTATGAATAACTCACTGTTTTTAACTTCTTTGGTACAAACTCTTTAGGGAATTCTTCCTGCTTAACGGGCTTTTCATCCTCATCTGAATCTTCTTCTATCACTTCCTCAGCTGCAGCTTTCCTTAGGCCGGCACTGATGAAATTAACCGGGGCCGAGTAGTCCCGAGAGCTGCACAAAAAAGGGATTTCACAGTCATGAACAGTAATACTGTTCCATTGAATCAGAACTTGAAGTGCACACTCTCAGAAACACCTTGATGCAGTTTTTCCTGATTTTAAAATAAACTCAGTGTTAAGAAATAGCATTAAATGCTGTTAAATTCAAACTTCTGATATTTCAGTTATGGAAAATGTTGGTTTTGCGTGCACAAGGCTCTCTCTATTGAGTTGTAACCTAGCACACCGGTGATCTCCCTCACAAACCTCTTACTAAGTGGGCAATAAGGAAACAAATCTTGGAACCAAACTATATATGAAGAATTCAGTCCATTTGATAACACACTGAACTAAGTATTAACCTCTCCCCTCTTCACACAGATACCCTCCAAAGCCATTACAATCTCAAACTGGCCACAGTAGCACAGTTTCCTGGAGAGTTTTGCCCTCTGAATCAGGCTCTATGCATCAAGTGATTGAGTTACATTCATAGAAAAACTTACAAAATCAAATACCCTATAGAACTTATAAAGGAAGAACTCTAGTAGCTCTTTGCAGACTGACAGAGAAAAGAACTGAATTAAAAGTGAGAAATCTATTGGTACAAAGGAATCAGTATCTCATTTGGACGGTTATTGGAGCTTATCAGCTACGCTAACAACAAAGAGAAGATTCTGTCTGTTCACAGTACTGCCAGAGTTTGCAGGGCACCGGGAACTGCCCGTACCGTTTGCCTCCAAAGCTGGGCCTCTCGTCGTCGGAGTCATGCTCAGCCCACACGCCATAGGTGGCCTCCTCCTTGGTCTGCCAGTGGCGCTGCCGGTTGGGGTTGAACTCGTTCTGCAGGTCCCAGTCCGTGATTTCAAATTTCTCCATCTCCACATCACCATCGTCATCGTCATCTTTGCCGTAGAGATGGGACATCGACATTTTGGCCTAGGAGAGAGAGCAACAGGCCGGGAGAGTCAGAGCGAGCAGCTGCTCACAGGGTGGGGGTCCAGAGAGAGGTGGCAACAAGCGGGGTGGGCACGGCCGGCGTGAAGCGGTGACGGGGGGGCCACAGCCGGCGTGAGACGAATTAGGGGGCGGCACAGCCGGCGTTAAGGAGGGGGAGGGGGGGGGCCGGGCGTGAGGCGCTGACAGCGGGGGGGGGGCCAGGGCCAGGCCGGGCGTGAGGCGCGGACAGCGGGGGGGGGGGGCAGGGCCGGCGTGAGGCGGACACTCTAGGGGGGCAGAGCACAGCCGGCGTTAAACGGGCGTGAGGCGGTGACAGCGGGGGGGGGGGGGGCCGGCGTGAGGCGGTGACAGCGGGGGGGGGGGGCGGGGCGCTCGTGACGCCCCGTTACGCGCAGGGGCCGCGGGGGGACGAGGGGCCCTTGCAGGGGGCAGCGCGAGGACAGAACACCAGCGGGAGGGGGAGGGGGAGGGGCGCGGAAAGGGACCGCGCCTACCCCGAGGGCGGGCTCCGCTCGCGGTGGCCCAGGCCTCGGACGAGTCCGGTTCGGGCCGCCGGCACTCGGCCCCGACGCTCCAAAGCGACCCGCGCTGCTGACCCGGAAACAGGAAGCGGCGGCCTTTACTTCCGGGGCCGCGCAACGACTGCGCCTGCCCACGCCACGCCCCTGACCATAGAGACACGGCGGCAGAGCGGCCCGTCATGGCCTCGCCTCTCGATGGTAGTGGCTGACTGCGGCGGGAGGCGGTGCAGCCTGGGCCCAGGCCCCGCCCCTGCCCCGCCCCCAGGGATCCAGGCCCCTCACTCCCCAGCAAGGGGGTTGCCAGGCCCCATGGGCAGCCAGGGGCACCCAGCCCCCGCACGTGGTCTCGCACCTTCAGGCCTGGGGGGCGCCCGGCTGCTCCCCAGGGTGGGTTCCCCAGGGTGGGTCCCCCAGGCACTGCACCCCCCCAACACCCCCCGCCCCCAAGTGCCCCTGCCCTTGGTCCCACAGGCCCAGCTCCCCCCCCAGGCATCCAGCAACCCGGCTGGGCCCTGGCAGCCCGGCAGCCCCGCCAGGCCCATGCCCTCGGCGCGCCCCCAGCCATGCCCACAGGACGGGGACACCCCAGGAGAGCGAGCAGCCGTACGGGGGCTCGGTCCCGCACGCCTAGGACACGTTCTTCTGCACCGGACACCACTCGCATCACGGGAAATAAAGCAGACTGAGCCACGCCGGAAACAGAACGGCCTCATATATTAACTCTGCAATAGATTCTGTACGTTACGAGTGAAGGAATGATAGGAGGCAGGTCTCCGATTGTCACTTGTACAACAAAGGCTCGACGCGGTTATTACACCTATTTCTGGTTTCAAATTAGAGAACAAAATTACAAGACAATTTTAATGTAACTTTAAAAAGTCCTCAAGTAACTGAATATAAAATCTCTTTCCAATGCACTTCGAAGGTTCAGTCAGAAAATTCATTTCCACAGATTTTTCTCTTTTTCACAGAGTGTTCAGAAAAGGTAGACAACTGGTACTTGAAGTGTGAAATGTTTGACCTTTGCAAATAAATGCAAATACATTCCTTGTACAGCAGTCACGTTTTGGCAATATTATTAGCAAGCAATATGCTTGGATAACAGATTTCCACTTTTGCATTTGCAAATTCCTTCTCTGCTGGGCAATGAAAGGACACTTGCAACATCCTGCGGGGGGGAAGAAAGGTATTTTAGTCAGAGGGATGAGCTATATACCTAATACAGCAAATCTATGATCATTTGTACCCAGGGCTCTTACAAATGACTTTGTGAGAGACATACAAACTCCCAATCAGGAACCAAGACTGGTGCTACATCTACACGGCAGAGCCTATTCCCTCAGTGTAGATGCACCGTATACTGACAGGAGGAGCACCGCCATCGTAGGAACACCTCAAACTGCTGCTTCTGTTGTCAGCGAAGCTCCGTTTCTGAGGGGGGAGGGTTCAAACCCCTGACTGACAGTGCTATGCCAGCATAAGCTGTGAGTGTAGACCAGGCCTAATATACCCTCTGTTCCTGTTCAATGCTTTTGTCGTCTTTATCACAATCATTATCAATGTGATGTTCATTTGTGTCTCAAACTCAGAGCAAGACAACATTTCCAATTCAATGGACATTCTAAATGTCAGGCCATGTCTACACCAGCACTTATGTCAACACTTTTGTCGCTGAGGGGAGTGAAAAAATACCCCCCCCCCGCCCCGAGTGACATATTTTGATGGCATAAGTGCTCACTGCACAGCGCTACGTAGATGGGAGACGCTCTCCCCCCAACACAGCTACCGCCGCTTGTTGAGCTGGTTTTATTATGCCGACCGGAGAGCTCTCTCCCATCAGCATAACACAGCTACACGAGCGCTCGTACAGCGGCAAAGCGGAATTGGTACAGCCGTGCTGCTGGCAACTTGTAAGTGTAGAGATGGCCTTAGATTTTACAAGTGCTCACAACTGTGTTTACAAGACAGCGTAGGGATTACTGTGTAAAAACACAGACCTTTAAGCTTTGTTTCAGGGGAAGAGAGGAAAGCAAGAACTACAGGGGTGTTCTGTTTGTTTTGTTTTTTAATTACAAACTAGTCTGACTTTTTTTTTTTTTTCTAATTAATCCAAGGAGGTCAATGGCACATCCTAGAGGGTTATCAGAGCTTCTCCTCCTGCACCACAGAACTACTGCTCAGTTCATGTGGACATTTCCATGTTCTCGGCAGTGCTACAAGCTGGTGATGTTACCGAGTAGGTCGTTTACACTTTGGGCAAATAAACCTGTTTTCACAGGAAACGCAAGAAGTCACGTTTTGAAACCCATCTGGCAGAGTACCAGCGTTATTCTGACAAATTGGAGCAATTAACTGAACATGGAGTTGATATGTCTCAGGAGCACACCTAGAGCAACAGGCACTAAAAATTATGCAGGCAAAACCCCAGGCCCAGAGCAATGTAAATAGATCTGCAGGATTTCCAATTGAAGCACAAGTACCTACCTGGAAATCATTAATTTTCAGTGAGAAGCAGACGTATTCTGAGTCACCTAAAATAATCCAAGAAAAGCAATGATTAGTATTAAGTCACATACAAAACCCAGACTCTCCCATCGCACTTCTGAGAGTGAGCTGATTACGGCTCAGTTCAGAGACAGAGGCAATGCTGTAACGTAAGTGGCTGAGAGTGCACTTTTGCCAGGAAATCGCCACCTCTCCTGTGATATTTTGGCTTCCCCAGTGACCCAGATCTTCATCACTGCAATGCATTCTACATGGGACTACACCTGACAGCCATTCAGTACCTGCAGCTGGTGGTTCCCTGCAGGGAGCACAGTTACACCCATCCATGGCAGGCTGCACTAGTTTCTGAATCTGGCAATTCAAAGCAATGATTTTCACTTGTGAATCTCTAAATGCTTTTAATGCTGGCTACCTGAGAGGTGCCTTTCTCCTCACATACTACTGTGACAGCTGAAATCACTGCTTACTTTAACAGTTCCCATACTAAACAAGCAGAGTCTTGGTTTCCCACGCCCCTTACTTGGACACAGCCCTAGTGTATTGACCATTAGGCTATCATGTGTCATAAGAACATGAGAATGGCTGTGCTGGGTCAGACCAATGGTCTTTCTAGGCCAGTATTCTGTATTCTGACAGTGGCCAATGCCAGGTGCTTCAGAGGGAATGAACAGAACAGGATAATTTATCAAGTGATCTATCCCATTGTCCAGGCCCAGCTTCTGGCAGTGACAGGCTTAGGGACACACACAGCATCTGGTTGTGTCCCTGACCACCTCTGCTAACAGCACCTATCCGCCAGGAACTTGTCTAATTTTTTTTTTAAACCCAGTTTTACTTTTGGCCTGCACAACATCTGCTGGCAACAAGTTCCACAGTTGTGCATTGTGTGAAAAAGTCCTTCCTTATATTGTTGTGTCCTATCTATTTAAGCAGTATTTTCTAGGGGGATAGAGGAAAGGGTTTAAAGTTCTTTGACCTTCACCTCTAGTGCCAGTGTGATTGCACAAAATTGTAAAGTGCTTCCTGATTGTACACCCGTGCAAAGGGAGCAGTTTGATTAGTGACACATGAAACAATTATACACTGAGAGGACGATCAGAACCAGAAGCCATGTTCTGGAACGTTTACACTCTCTAGATTAGACACCCCTCCCCCCGCTTCCCACTCCACACATGGCAAGACACAGAACAGCAGGTCAAGAGTCAGGGGCCTCAGGGAAGAGAGCGTGTCCGGAGGGACGAGAGGCAGCGGCAGTGTTTGGATCAGATGAATGCACAGACACCCCACAGAAAGCAAGAAGCCAAGAGTGAGAGAAAATAACGTTAGCAGGAAGGAGGGGCGGGCACGAATGTATGCAGGGCTTGGATAGTGATGACCAGCAGCTAAAATTTCATACAACCAGACAGGACACCAGTGAAAGGATCCAGGGTTGGCGTGACATGATCAGCACGACGGGAGAGGAACAACTGTGCAGTGGAGATTTGGATGGGCTAAAGCAGGAGATGCAAGTGAGTCAGGTATCCCAAGGACAGAGCTGCTGCCCAACTCTGTGCACTCATGTGAGGGACCAGACATGCCACGAATCCATCCGAAATGAAGGTATAACCTGGAGAAGTCACTGGGCTCTCACCTGAAGACGCCCTTTCAGATTGGCTGGTGTTTTAAAATCCCCCTTCATAACCTATGGAAGGAATGAAAGCAGAGTGACTCCACTTTGTACGGACTAGCTGATGCTTAAGCAGCCCTTCTGCCTCATTAGCTGCCTGGCATGTCATAGCGTGTCTGAACCAGAAGCAAACCTCAAAGGCCTGAGCAATAGCCTGGCGTAAGCATCGTGCGTGAAGTGATTTTGTTCTGCCCTCCTGGGCAGATCGCTAGCGCTGTGGGCCGAGGTACAATTTCAGCACAGAGATGGCGTTTGGCATCGGACAGTGGCTGCGGTGCAGTCCTCAGGACTTCTGCTAAAAGTGGTTTCTCTGGGCTGCGCTGCACTCCCTCCCTTCTCACCCAAGGGGGAATTTTTTAAAAACTGCATTAAGAAGGGATCTTTTGTACAATGACCATTTTCCACGTTCACGTTGACAAAAACTGAAGGGCTCCACTTTGCTCAGGAATCCTGCAGGGTCTGGATCCTGGGAGAGCCTCTCATCCCACTTTCCACTGCTGTTAACATGGCTTGCAGGGACTGGAACAGTCCTCAAAGCCAGTGCCACAATCAGAGCAGCCAATCAAGCCAGCTCCAGGGGCTGGTATTTCAATGCATCATGCACACAGATGGTACCAAACCACCTAGATCATGAAAACAGAGTCTGCCCTTGGTTCTGTGCATATCATAACAGGACCCCATTCATGACTGTGGCCTCTGGGTATTACTGCAATAAACCATCAGCACCACCTCATAGCAGCTCCCTGAGCTAGTTCTCCTCGTGCAGGACTTGCCTGGTCCTCCTGGAGTCCTGCCTTTGAGGGGGAGGAGAGTTTGACCTGGGCCCAAGCAGAAACAAGGACATGAGAAGATTCCCTCCATTTAGTAACCAGCTCGTGGCTCTGCAGCACCCCCTAGCAGGGGCTGTAATTTCCAGAGCAGCACACACAAATCCTCTGGGGAATGTCTCTTTGGCCTTAGCACAGCTGCAGTAGGTGCACTGTCCCAGAACATGACCTTGCATTCCTTCTGCACCCAGCCTCCCCTTGACTGGAGTGAGTCTGGGGTGAGCTACGGAATGAAGCACCGATTTCTAGGTCTTCCACTAGGGAGAGACTGGCGTTTTCTAGCGCTAACAGCTTTGCGTAAATGCAGAGGTATGTAAGTCAGTATTACATATAGTAAATCCACATTTCTGTGGCTATTTTGTATTTGTAACATGTGTCACTCCCATCATCATCCAGTGACGCTCAGCATGCTAAGCAGACAGTAGAAATACTCACCCTGTGGGTGTTGTTGATTACCAAGGGGTCTGGGTTCCCATAGTTGGGTGGATTTGCATATGGGTCATAGCCAAGCCTAGAGAGCATTGGTGCTATCTGGGCCATGTCTTGCAATACGTCCCCTGGAATGTGCCCGATCCATTTGGACAAAGCTTCCAAGTTTACAGGCTTAATAACCTGGTCTGTTGATCTTTCTATCCTGAAAAGAGAGTAGAAATCAGTCACTTGGGTTTTGGATGTATGTTGTGTTCATACGTAGGAGCCGGCAGCTGGGTTATTGCCATTTGAATTCTCATTCTCAGTGCCCGAGAGACGCGTGTAGCTCAGATATTTTCAGCGTCTTCAGGATACAAAGCTCATACATCAGAGGCTTCAAAGCTATCTATCGGTAAAGCATCAGTGCCATCATTAGGATGGTGAAGCTGCAGGGCCAAAGACCCAACACTAACACACCACGCCACGTGTTTCAATACCCAAGTGCAAAGCCGTGTGGGAACCGGAGTCACTGATATATCCCCATCCTCAACCTTCCCGAAGTGCCACCTCTTGCCACAGAAGTTGAAGGGGAAATGCTGTGCTGCCCACTCTCTGCTGAGGTGGCCTAAGAAGTCCTGGGCACTCTTCCCGGCCTAGGGATGCTCCTGTTTGTCCTGCCCACCTTGCTGGGCCTTCTGTGTTAGATCATCTGCATCTGTTTCCCCTAGCGAGGGAAAGCGTGTCCCCCACTGCAATTGGTGCATTGCTGCCAGTCTGAGCTATGCCCTCCGCAGCGACAATCTGCCCCTGCAGTCAAAGGCAGAGCAGCCTCTCTCACTGCACAAACTGTCCCTTTACATTTTGAGACAGCAAAGTTAACGTCCTGTAATTAGGCAGATTTACATAATTTGCATGAAAATTAGAGCCCTCCCCAGAGACCGTTCTATTTATTCAGGACACGTAAATCTCTGGCACGGCACGAGAAGAAGCTGCAGTTGGAGTGCGGCAGGTGCCACCAGACCATGAAGGATCCAGGGCGCCTAAGGCTCTTGAGATAAAGCCTCCAATCCCAACCTGTCTCCCCGTCAGGCCTTGGAGATCAGTCACTGATTTCTAAACTGTTCAGAAGGGACAGGCATTCCTACGGCCCAAACCTCTCACCCCAGTTACTACAGGAGAAAAATCAAAGGAATTTGTGGCTACCTGCCACACAGATGTCATGGGAAAGGAGACCCCGGGAACTGGGCAGCATTAGTAAATTAATGAGCTATTCGCTAGTAAGTTAATGGACTATTTGCTCTCAGCAGATTTTTAAAGATACGAAGCCCAACAGAGGCCATCAGTTCCCCTAAGAAATAAGCCTGCATCTACCACAGTAGCTGCTCTCCCCTTCCCTTGCTACCACAAACCACAATTCCTTGGCTGGGGAGGGTTTATAGCGAAGGAAAGACAAGGCCGTAAAGGAGAAAAGCTCTAGCCCTGAGTGAACTGCATGCTCCCCATCCTCTGCACTCCCTCTGCTCAGCTGCGCCCAGTTCCTGCATGGTACATCTGCAATGTTCACGCCTTACACACCACGGAGAGCCAGACTCGAAGAGGCTCTACAGATTCACAACAGCCACTGGTCCAACACCCCCCATTCACTAGCATCAGCAATGTAGTGACTTGCCTTGGGACTGATCACCTGGGCTAGAGCCCCTAATTCTGGAAAATAAAGTGCTCTTTGAGGCCCTAATGCCCCTCTGGGGTCTTTAACTAATATGGGACTTTAATCACTCTTCCCACCCCTCCCTCCCTCAAGTAGTAGGCCCTCAGTTACACAGCAGGGCATACTGGGGCATCAGTTCAACTGTGACTCAGAGAACTACACCCAGTAAAACACTGACTAGCGTGAAACAGCATTTTACAAGGGTACTGAATCACAAATCACATGCAGTCAGCTTCCACTGCTACTCTCTCTTTGGGAAGAACTTTTTAGGGTAAGTCTACACGGCAAAGAGACACTTGTGGCTGGCCAGTGCCAGCTGACTCAGGCTCGTGCTACGGGCTGTGTAACTGCAGTGTAGATCTCTGGGGCTCGGGCTGGAGGACAGGCTCTAGGATCCTGCGAGGTGGGAGGGTCCCAACGCTCAGGACATCCTGAATGTCTACACCGCAATTAAACCGCCCTGCAGCCGGAGCCCCACTAGCCTGAGTTCACAGGCACAGGCCAGCCACGGGTGTCTCACTGCAGTGCAGACATAACCTTAGTGTTGAGGAAAGTATGGCCTGACAACGTCCCCCCCTTCCCTTGCTCAGAGAAAGAGAAAAACCATACAGCGGGTTCTTTCTCCTCCACCTCCCCATTCTGGATGGAGAAAACTAACAGAAAAAGACGGTTAGAAGGCAGACGTGTCTAGCTAGTTCCTATATATCCGTGTTTACAGTTAGAGGTTGGGTTAGGTTAATCTAAGGTCACCAAGTAGCCAAAATGATCACTACAAACAACTGCAGCAAGAAGCTCAAAATATGAAATCGCTTTAAACACGCATGTTGTGCGTACACACTTCTTTATCCCATGATCACGTCAGAACTATGTGGGGCAAGAGGCAGTGGGAGGTCAGGAAAACTCAGCTGCATGCTACCTAAAACAATTCAGTGCTCGCTGGAATGTAATCCAATGTTTAAAGAAATATTTGGGAATGGGTAGAAAAAGAGAAAGGGGACACAGATTACCCCAAAACTGGAGCTCCTTCAACAGGACTCTGCCAAAGCAGAGCCTGAAATCATCCCCTTATTTACAAGTCGGACGACTGAGATGTCACCATTCTCAAAACTCCTCACCTACGCAGCTAACCACGGTCAGGGACACCGCCACTGTGACATTCACGCAGTTCTTTACTTAGACGCACACAAATACGCTACAGCAGAGTTGGGTGCATCGATCCCTCTGCTCCTGGAAACCAGGCATGAAAATAAGCAACAAGGTGGGCCCCAAGAAGGTTTGGCAAGAACCCGCTCCGCCCAGGCAGGAGTCTCTTTGGAAAGCAGCGGCCATACAGACACTCACTTGGAAAGAGAGACTCCGCCTGGTTTCCCTATTAACTCTTCATGGTGCAGCACTGCGTCGCTCCAGGAAATGTCTAGGAACTGCATGATGACACGCATGGAGTGCTCGGGGTGCAGCACTAGCTGCTCATAGTAGACTGGCAGGCACCTGGACCGCCCAATCTCTACGCACTGGGAATACATCACCTCGATCGCTTTGTTCCACTTTGCAAGGCAGTCTCGGTAGCTGTTCAAGTCAAAGCCTGCAATCGTTACCTTCCTTGTGATCATGGAATGGACAGAAGCCCGGCCATCTCGAACCATCAGCAGAAATTTGGAATTGGGAAAGAGTCTGGAAAGGTAGACAGAGGATTTTAACGTGAAGGGGTCCTTGTTACATAGATATCTGGCTGGCTCACCATGCTTGGCTATGACTTCCAGGATAAATGCCTGCATGGCAGCGTCCAGGACTTGGTCCGTCACTCCTGCTTCATCCAAGCGCATCTTTTCACGCCCAGATTTGGACCAGGCCTGGCGCATTGCCAGCACCCGGGGAATAATGCGAGTCTCTTCTCCACAGCGGATTTCTGGATGCGCATCCAGCATGGCTCTCATGAGAGTCGTGCCGCTCCGCGGGACCCCACCGATAAATATCAGAGGCATCTCCTTGCTGTACCGGTACTCGACGCGACTGGAGTCCACCACGACCAGTTCTTCATTTTCTGGTCTCATCAGCCCATGCTTCCGCTTGCCATAGCCCTTGCCCAGTAGCTCCTGGCACTCCAACATCTGCTGGCCAACGTGCACAGTCACCATCAGGGCAATAGCAAAGCCAAGCCCCAGCAACACCCGCCGCATGGTGATCCGCATTCTGTTCCTCTGCACATAGGCTGGGAGACCGAAGGGTCCTCTGCCTTCAGCTTTCACTTCGGAAGCAGCCAATCCCGTGCGCGTCTGCAAAGAAAACAGCACATGTTCAAAGAAGTCAGGGGCACACATCTGGTTACCTGGCCCGTCTCCTACTGAACCACCTGACACCAGGAGAGCCTCAGCCTCCAATCAATCACACAAAGACCTACTGATCACCTCAACTTGGCCCTGGCCAAGCCATTTGTCTTGTCTGCTTGGAACTAACTCCAGCTTCCACCACAACTCCTGAGAGACCATTTCAGGGTCTAATCAACCTCATGATTTATCACCATCTTACATCCCCAAAAGAATGGCAAAGTGATTTTCAGATTGTGCGTAAAGAGATCTTTCCTTGCTGCTGGGGAGGAAGGTACCTGTTTACCAGCAATGCTGTGCAGCAGTTTAGCAGAGGAAAGTAAGAATAACGTATCCAGGAAACCCTTTGGGAAGTATTTCCAAAACATCCAGAACAAATTTCCTTGGCTTATCTTCATCCCATTACTTCCTTCTATTAAATATGTGTTGCTCTGAAGCAAGTATTTTAATCAAAACAGAGAAGAACTGAAGTAAAAACAGAACAGAACCCTCCAAGCCCTGGGTATTCCATGCGAGCAATTCTGGAAGAGTGGGAATGCAGCAAAAGCGCCAGCCTTTCTTTACTAGCTCAATGGCAGAGCTTTTGTATTTATGGACGGGGGCATTTTGGCTTAGCTAGGCTTTTCCCTTCTCATGAAGGCCAAGAAAACATCAACCTCCAAGGTGACAGACTGATTTACTGCCCTCCATCCCAGATGTGTCCCCAATCCGTTCTTGCAGTTTTCCCTCTGTTGTATTACACATATTCACTGAAGTACACAACACAACCCTTCTATCAGTTCCATAAACAAGAAGTTTCCTGTATACATTTGTTTACTTTGATTAGAAATTAGCTATGACATGAGAAAACTCTTCCCATTTGATTTCCAGGAGGTTGGTGGGTTTGCTTCAGCAGAAGCAATGGCTAATGAGCATCAAATTGGGTTAATTATTAAACAAACTACTTATTTGAAGGTTTAGTGTAAACACTAGCAGCAAGCATTGCCAATATGAATACTCCCCTGCCAGAAACTGACCTTAAAGAAAGTTTCCCCTTGAAACACTGAAGCTTTCATTTGGCTCTGCCGTGAAGACCCGACTTCTCTGCAGGAGATTCAGGCAGGAGGATTGTTGCTCCTGCAAGTCTGTCTCTTGCTCTGCTGATTCCACAAAGCTCCTGTTAAAACTGGCAAACCATCCCTCCCCCTTTCCCGGCCGAACCCACTAGTGCAGGTTTTGCAATCCCACCCCTAGGTCACAGAGGGCTTTTCGGGTAAATTCCTTGCAATGCAAGGACGGAAGAACCCAATGCACAGCTACAGACTAGGGACCGAATGGCTAGGCAGCAGTTCGGCAGAAAAGGACCTAGGGGTGACAGTGGACGAGAAGCTGGATATGAGTCAGCAGTGTGCCCTTGTTGCCAAGAAGGCCAATGGCATTTTGGGATGTATAAGTAGGGGCATAGCAAGCAGATCGAGGGATGTGATCGTTCCCCTCTATTCGACATTGGTGAGGCCTCATCTGGAGTACTGTGTCCAGTTTTGGGCCCCACACTTCAAGAAGGATGTGGATAAATTGGAGAGAGTCCAGCGAAGGGCAACAAAAATGATTAGGGGTCTGGAACACATGAGTTATGAGGAGAGGCTGAGGGAGCTGGGATTGTTTAGCCTGCAGAAGAGAAGAATGAGGGGGGATTTGATAGCTGCTTTCAACTACCTGAAAGGGGGTTCCAAAGAGGATGGCTCTAGACTGTTCTCAATGGTAGCAGATGACAGAACGAGGAGTAATGGTCTCAAGTTGCAGTGGGGGAGGTTTAGATTGGATATTAGGAAAAACTTTTTCACTAAGAGGGTGGTGAAACACTGGAATGCGTTACCTAGGGAGGTGGTAGAATCTCCTTCCTTAGAGGTTTTTAAGGTCAGGCTTGACAAAGCCCTGGCTGGGATGATTTAACTGGGAATTGGTCCTGCTTCGAGCAGGGGGTTGGACTAGATGACCTTCTGGGGTCCCTTCCAACCCTGATATTCTATGATTCTATGATTTGGACAGAAGTTGAACGTGGGAGAGAGGAAGGGAATCGCTGTGCATTTTATTTCACTGCCAATCCAAAACATTGCCTAAGAAAAATATTTTCTCCTCAAAAATTTCTTAATGAAAGCAAGCACGTAACAGTGGCCCATGTAACCACACAGAGCAGTCCATTTTCACACTCTGCAGGGCACTGGCTGTGTCCGGCACGCTGCTCCTCTTTACTGTGCATGGTACTGTACAAAGAGCAGCAGTTCTGGGCCCAGGGACTTTACAATCGAGTTACATGTCTCTGAAGTGATGAATTGGTCATTTGACTTTTTAATATATTTCATCTCCAAAAGCAATTTAAAATGCCCACGAGCCTCTGGTCCCCACCGCCTTTATAGCTGGAATGGTCAGAAATTCAGACTAACTGGACTGTAATGGGATGTAGTTCAAAAGTCTAAGCAGAGGTAAAATAAATGATTTTAAAGGGAGGACGGTAGTTTGTATTAAATGGGGCAGGCAAATACGGTTTATGGTTAACATTTCCTACCAGGATTCCCTTGTAGCCCCGCTAGCTCGTCAAGGTCACTTAGAGGTGAGGACATGGCTCATTTGGGCACCTGAAATGGGTAGAGTGCCGTGAATCTGACACCACAAACACGGGATTCCAGGAAAACTGACCAGCCAGAACATGCCACATGCCAGAATCCTGAAGTGAAACCTGCTGCACAGCCCGGAGTATGTTCTTGGCCCTCCACTGTGCAGACAGCATGGCGAGCCAGGCTAGGGGTGCGGGACAAAGTTGCTTTCAGGGACTGTGATCTCAAATGTTATTCAGCTCTCCTCCTGCCCATCCATGTGCTTGTTCAACTACTGCCAAGGCAGATGGCAAATATGCAGCATTTACAGAGACTGTTTGGCCTCTAATCTTGCCTGCTAGCCATTTAAAAAGAAAAAAGAGCTCTTAAAATACTGGATCTATCTGCTTCAGGGTGACAGACATACAGACAGCCTGCTGTCTGAGCACATGACTAGGGAACAAGAACCCATAGGTTCTAAGCCCTGATCTGATGCTGACTCCATCTGTGTCTGGAACATGTCACTTCTCTCTCCCCCTCCTTCCCCAACGGTAACAAGGGGTACACTTGCTGTGGGGCAGCCAAAGGGGTGTTGCCAAGACCAGTCTGCTACCCCAAGTAATACCTATTATTAGATGGGTTTCAGAGTAACAGCCGTGTTAGTCTGTATCCGCAAAAAGAAAAGGAGGACTTGTGGCACCTTAGAGACTAACCAATTTATCTGAGCATAAGCTTTCGTGAGCTACAGCTCACTTCATCGGATGCATCGGAAGTAAGCTGTAGCTCACGAAAGCTCATGCTCAAATAAATTGGTTAGTCTCTAAGGTGCCACAAGTCCTCCTTTTCTTTTTATTATTAGATGGGGTCACTAAAACATCCCTAAACTCAGAGTTCCTAAACAAACACAAGTGAGCCTGCTCACTAATGCGAGGTCAAAGGTGCAACTAAGCTCGAGCTGCTTTCTGCAGTCTTCTGCGGCAGCATTCACCAACAGGTTCTAGGGCTTGGTGTGAACGTCCATCATCGGGAAGAGCAATTCCCTCCACTGCAGACATTGCTGGATGAAATTCTATGGCCCGTGTCATGCAGATGGTGAGATTACATGATTACAGCACAAACCCCGTTGGCCCTAACATCCGTGAAAAAGTCCTCAGTTACTGTCTTCTCCCCGGCTTCTTCCCTCCCACACAGGATCCAGGGACTTAAAATCCTACTAGCCTATGGACATAAGTTCATCAACAGAAACCAAAGAGCTAAAGGCTTCACCAGAGCTCAGCTGCTCAGTAAAACCCCAGCATGCTTACGGCTGGTGCTCTGACCCACGGGACACATTGACGAAGATGGAGTGCCATCCAGAGAGCCAGAAACTCCATCTTCAACCAGACTGAGAATTTAGTCATGGCTTTAAAGGAAGCAAAATGCAGCATGCAGAGGAACAGCTGAGCTGTGGCCAATGTAGCAATAAGGATCAATACAAACCCAAATTCACAAAAAATCCCTGCAATTAAAAATCTCCCCTATTTTGCATTCTGATTAGGTATTAATAACAGCAAGATCAGCAATCGCTTCTAGGAGTTTTTGAGAGTGGTAAAATATTAATAAAACAGAAGTGGCTGTGCAGACACAGACATGAAATATTCATTAACTCACTCCCAATATGTCACGCAGGGCCCCACTGCTCTGACAGATCCTCTTTTGATACACTTACCTTTCCCTGGTAAATTCATATTGCCGTGGGCCGATCTCTGCTCAGAAATACAGATGGCCGATGAATACCTAATGAGAAAAAAACCCACAATGCTGATTTGTTTACAGATAACTGATATTCATCGGAATGGTTAGAAATAAAATGCTCATTCTCAGGGTGCAGTTTTCCATATTGCAGTTTTAACAGCATCTATCAACACACAGATCAGTAATCTTTTAACGTCTACCTGAAAGCCAAAATACATGCAGCCGCGAGATACAACTGTTATGTTCATCATTCACTGTCTCCACCAAACCTAGCAACTGGCTGGCAGAAACCAGCCTGAATATCTTAACACTGGCAGTGTCACTTGGCTGTCTCAGCTACAGACGAGGCTTAAAAATAAGACTATGCACCTGGCATCACAACCCTGAGCCCATGAAGCGACATTGGCATCATATTCCTCTCATCCCAGGGAAAGGAAACCTTGCAAAGTCCATCGGGTGACAAAACTCAGGGAGAGTCTTGGAGCACAGGCAGAGGGAGAAGCAAAAAGCAATGAAAATCTCTCTCAAATGAGGGAGGAGGCTGGCTTCCCAAGACCTGAGACGGAGAGAGCAAGAGCCAGGCAGAAGCAGGCAGGATGTGTGAGGCCAGAGAGGATGGCAGACTGACTATATTAGAGTCCCAACTGGTAAACAGAACCATGCCACCTGCTCCAGAGGACACTGCACAGCACCTGCTCTCCCGTTTCATTACAAACTCTGAAATCAGGCAAGAGCCAAAGTGCTGCGGAGGCTCACAAGCCTTTCTGGCAAACCTGCGCTCAGTGTTCGGCTTTGACTGAGGTCATCTGCAATTCTGAGCAAGCTCTGCTTTGAAAATTAGGCTCCTTTGAGCATAACACTCAAAGCGAAGTCAAGGGAATGTGAAACCCAGAGCAAAATAAAACATCAGCAAAGGCCCCTGCAAAGCAAGCTGCAAGATTCCCCTGGCGACAACAAACTCTTCCACATTTTGCTCAAGGTTGATTCCTTCACCCTGTTGTCTGTGAAACTGATTTTAGCACAGGAAACTCCCTGGGGCCCAGTAGCGTTTACAATCTACCTGCAGCATGCAGACCCACAAGAAGTGATCTTAACATTGGAACAAAACAGGCACCCATGCGGGGCACACACGCACCCCTCCCCTGGATTTCCAAGGAGCCCTGTCTTCTGCATCTGCAACTGTTAGCTTCCTCTTTGCATACCATACAACAACATGCTGTTTCCAGGAGATGGCTCTGAACCAGGGATAAAAACATTACCAGCGTAACTGCTGCAAGAAGTTTGGTGCCTCTGCAGGGCACCAGCAAGGCAGGCTCCAGTCGCCTTTCGGGTGAAGGGCCTGGAGGGTCTGTGGAGAAGGGGCAGAGACAGAAGGGAGCAAACTTGGCTGCACACAGCAACCAGGCCTATTAGGCTGGAAGGGGATTTCCACCTGGCTCCAGGATTAGCGCCGACGGGATTCTCTCCACAGTATTTCTGGAGCACCCTCTGCTGCAGAGCTAAGCACGGACGCCAGGAGAGCTCTCCACGTACACGACAGGCCTCGGTTTCTGCTGCTGGTGGCGATGATGCACTCATCCATAGGCTGGTGAGCACACTTAGTAACACTACACACCGACCCATCACATAGACAGCTCCCTGCAGGTCCTCGTGGTCGGAGTGCAGCACCTCACCTTCCCAACTGGACATTGACACAGGTTCCCCCGAGACCTGGGGCTTGACTGTCAGAGGTGCTGAGCACCCACAGCTCCATTAACTTCAACTGGAGTTCTGGGCACTCAGCACCACTGAAAGGCAGGCACTTGTTTGCCTCAGTTTCCCCTGTGCACCAGGGATTTCATTCCTTGCTTCACAGAACGGACTGACGGTATCTGTAGCACTGGGCCAGTACAGAAGTGCTGGATTACTGCTAACGATTTGTAGGATGTGTGAGTGGAACAAGGCAGTCAGCTCTGCCTCTGCTCTAGGGCTAATTAAAAGCCTGGCGGGGGAACTCCACCCAGATCTCTCTGCAAGAGCCTGACAGTTTTGCTGTGTGAGGGGGACAACGAGCCATGAAGAGTGGAGCCGCTCTCCACATATGACAATCTACTTTTTACCCAGCCCTCCAGAAGAGACAAGCTGGTGCACTGATCCATTGAGAACAAAATTAAAATAAAAGGAGTAAGCTCTACTGTAGGTCCTGTCTATTAAAAAACAGCTTGCCAGAACGCGAGACACGGCTCGCCCCAGCTATTAAAGATTACACGATTTTTATTTACATCAACGTGACTAGATGGAGTTTTAGATTATTCATGCTCCAGAGGAGATGCTTATTCTTCTGGCTACATGGATTTGCAAGTACTTAGTGCTGGAAATTGGATTTGTTATACTGCCTCGTTAACTTCAGGTACCACCGTCCCTAATTACTTCTCCTTCGGATACACAGCAGCCACAGAGAGCAGTTATTCCAGCAACTGAGTGCTAGGATTCCAAATTCCAAGTAATGTGCCCCATCGTCGTAGTCACACATTCCAAGGCCAGATGGGACCATTGGGATCCCGACCTCCTGCATAACACAGGGCAGACAACTTCAGCAAATAACTCCTAGGTCTGGGGGAAGCTGATTGTCATAGTTACTAACCAACAGCAGAGGCTTTGGAGTACATTATTAATATTATATATAACTAACTAGTTTGGTGAACTCTGAGTGGCCTGTGACTAAATGCACACAATAGCTCATAAGCGACAGTGACGGGACGTAGTGCATGAAACGCCCCCACCCTGCCCGCGAGGCGCTGTTACACAACACAAATGGAATCAGTAATATAGAACGGAGGGACACACACAAACAATTAGCTCACGGCAAGCTAGGGCATGAATCTTCACCACCAGAGCCTGCCACAGACCAGAGGTCCACATCAGTGGCTCTCCACCTTTCCAGACTGCTGTACCCATTCAGGAGTCTGATTTGTCATGCATACCCCCAAGTTTCACCTCACTTAAAAACTACTTGCTTATAAAAATCAGACATAAAAAATACAAAAGTATCAGAGTACACTATTGCTGAAAAATTGCTTATGTTCTCATTTTTACCATATAATTATGAAATAAATCGATTGGAATATAAATATTGTACTTACATTTCAGTGTATAGTATATACAGCAGCATAAACAAGTTACGGTCTGTATACAATTTTAGTTAGTACTGACTACGCTAGTGCTTTTTATGTGGCCTGTTGTAAAATCAGACAAATATCGAGATGAGTTGATGTCCCCCCGGAAGACCCCTGCATACCACTAGGGGTACATGTACCCCTGGTTGAGAATCACTGGTCCACATGGACCCTGCTGACATGCCTTAACAGTTCATTAACGCACTTTGATCTGTTTTGAAGAGGACTAGATCAAAGTGTAACGCATTGTTAATGTGCATCAGCAGGGTCCACAGACAGTTAGTGCACAGCAGACTAGTGGGGGCTTGCCATGAACGAATTGTTTGTGTAGTAGACAAGCCCCACTCATCTGCAGCCAAGGTGGATCACACATCTACTGTTCTTGGAAACCTTGTTATTATAAAAAGAAAAGGAGGACTTGTGGCACCTTAGAGACTGTAGCTCACGAAAGCTCATGCTCAAATAAATTGGTTAGTCGCTAAGGTGCCACAAGTCCTGCTTTTCTTTTTGCGAATACAGACTAACACGGCTGTTACTCTGAAACTTGTTATTATAGATTCTGTGCAAATAAAGAGAAAATCCCTCCAGAGAGGATATTCCAGCTAGAGAAATCGCACAGAAGGGGCTAATGTTTGGGTTTCCATAAACTGACCTAAGACCTACTCTGGTTAAAACTGTTTGAATGTAGGGTGCATTCTGGCTGACAAAGAAACAGAATAAGAGGGCCTGAGGCCGAGCAGGGCTGAGATGCGGAGAGAATTATCTGCATTTCCAGTCCCAAGGCACATGACAAGGATTCAGGCCTGTCACTGAGAAGGGTCAGCGTCCAGACTCCAGTGGCTCAGGGTGCATTGGCCCAGATTCAAAGCGGGAGCCCAGCACTAGAATAGCAGCAGGGGCTCCAGGACCGGGCGGTGGCTGTTCAGCAAAGTGATGTGCAGAGGCCTGCCCCACACCTGCCCAGGCTAAACCCCTTCGTTCCTTTGCATGAGCCACAAAAATTAGCAGCAGAGATCTGGGACTGGGAGTGGAACCTACAGCTTTCATGGGCTGTAATTAACTCTCACCGCCACTGTTAGTGGCATGGCAGATCTGGGGAGGGAGCTGCAGCCTGTCTCTGAAAGGCCCACGGAGCTGCAAGGAGCAGCTTTCTGCAGGGGACGGTGAACAAGTGCACTGCAGACATTCTTCCGGGAACTCCAAGAGCCACCACTCAGCAAAGGCCTTCAGGTTTAGAGAGTTGCACGATGAAGAGAGAGAACCGGAAAAAAATAAAGGGGACAAACATCCATTTACAAAGTCGAAAACTGTTCGAATCCATGAGGCTGAATCTACAAACATCATAACCGTGATTCAACAGCAACACAGCTCCTCTGGGACCACTAGAGGTGGAGGGTGTAGTGAAGACAGGACCTCCAGTAGGAATAGCTATCACCACCTCAAAACTCACATGCCCTGCCACCCACCGTTGCTATGACCAGTCAGAATTACAGTTCTCAAAGTCACCAGCGTGTGCAGTGCAGAGAGAACTTTCAGGGAATGTCGCTGTCAAACAAATCCCTACTGAGCGCGTGCAAATTGTGGTTACTCAGAAGCTCAGAACTTGGCCGACCTTTGGGCAAATTTGGATAGAGATGGCACCAGGGTGACTCTCCCTGCCAAATGTCAAGTCCCTCCTCTGTAGCATGGAAGTGCTAGATCTTCTCAAAATAAAATTTAAAACAAAATCTTACAGCCAGTCTTATTTTTAATATGGACAGGACAACGTATTTTTCTCTAACCTTGTTCTCTGGAAAGGCTGAACTATTTTAACCGAAACATCCCAAATAATTCAGACTGTGAAAACACCCAGAATGGAAAATTTCAGTCTGAACGGTTATAGTTTGA